CGCGTGCTCTCCAGCTTGGCCCGGAATGGGTGGACGATGGCCACGTAACGCTCCGCGCTGACCGTGGTGATGCTGAGGATGGAGGCGAAGCACACGGTCTCGAAGAGGGCCGTCTTGAAGTAGCATCCCACCGGCCCAAAGATGAAGGGGTAGTTGTACCACATCTCGTAGACTTCCAGAGGCATCCCCAGGAGCAGGACCAGCAGGTCCGAGACAGCCAGGCTGAACAGGTAGTAATTGGTGGGTGTCTTCAGGGTCTGGTGCCGGAGGATCACCAGGCACACCAAGAGGTTGCCCACGACCCCCACCAGGAAGATCAGCGCATAGGCCACGGACACCGGGAGGGACAGGTGGCTGCGCCTGGGTCCACACACGCGCGCCAGGTACTCCTCCGTGCTGTTCAGGTACATGGCTAGTGGATCCTCCACGCCCAGTTGCTGGATCCAGGAAACATTCCCAGGCGTTCCCATCACTGATGTGAAAATCCAGGGCCTCCCCTGGTTCCCTGGTCCTCTGGTCCTCTGACCCAAGGTGAGCCAGAGGGGAACGGAAGCAATCAGGAAAGCCTAGCCTCAGAGATGGAGGTTGGGAGACAGTAAATGCTTCAGCCTCCAGGGCTCTCTCCTCTCACACTGCTAAAGCCTTTTGAGGTTCCCACCAAGCCCCGCCCCCGACAGGCTGTCAGCCAATGTGTGTCTCAGGCTGCACCGTGGGAGAGCCGCTGGCTTTGTGCTGGGGGGGCGGGGGGAGCAGCCTTCTTTGCACTGGGGGTGGGGGGCAGCCTTCCTGGAGGAGCATCTGCTCACACAGATGGACCTGGGCACCTAAGGGGCGGGCATTCCCTGCAGGGCCTGCTGCAGAGGTGTGGGGCTGCGGGGAGGAGCCCACCAAGGGCTGACCATCCTGATTGCAGACGCAAGGTCTCCGTTCCTCTGTGTTCTCTGTACAGGACGTGGAACATCCGCATACTGCCTTGTGCATTTGAGTTTCAGGACCAGACATGACCATTAGAAATTTAGGGAAACTGGGAGAGTGACTCCAACACCCAGAGTCAGAGTCAGAGTCAGAGTCTCAGTCTGTCTGTCTCTGTCTCTGTGTCTCTCTCTCTCTCTCTCTCTCTGCTCTCTCTCTCTCTCTCTCTCTCTCTCTCTCTCTCTCTCTCCTTCCTGCACTTCTCTCTGTCTCTGTCTCTGGGTCTCTGCCTCTTTCTCCTGCATTATTTAGTTTATTTCGTTCAGCAAATTCATCTCCGGCTCTGCTACATGCCAGACACTGTTCTGAGTTGTGTGTAAACACGAACATATTAGCTGCAACTATTAGTTTCTTTCTTCAATGCTGTGACAATATTCTTGACAGACAACTTGAAGGACTTATGGGGCTGGAGATGGCTCAGAGGTAAAGGGCACTGGCTGCCAAGCCTGAGGGACCTGAGCTCTATCCTTGGGACTCCCTTGGTGGAAGAAGAGAGCCTGGGAAGAGAGAGTTGTGGTTTCTGTTCCTATGAAGTGGTAGAAATGTTTGGATTTAGGCATAGTTTTGCAAGGTGTGGCACTGGCACAGTTGGTAAGAATATGCAGGAGGGCAGATAGCCATGTACCTTGTGCTTAAGAGAAGCTCATGGAATTTCCTTCCCTGTTTATGCTAAATCAGATGATGAAAGCAAAAGAGAACTCCTCCAAGAACTGCTAGATGCAGCTGCTTATGCTGCTCTTAAAAAAGCCAGTCATACCTCAGTGGTTTCCAACAGGAAGATTTATTTCCACACTTTCAGTCTATCAAGCGTCACCCGGGCGGGAAGTGAGGCGTGGGTATGTTCAAGGTGCATTGTATGCAGTTTTCAAGAATAATAACAAAGATGCATTTTGTTTCCATGAGGCTTAGTTACCCCACTGATGAAACAAAATAGCGACCTAAAGGTTTGCTAAACCAGCTAAATAGTTCCTAGGAAAATATCAACTAAGGCTGGGGTGAATCTCAGGATCAGAGTGCGTCCCTGGTGAATACTGGGTGAGTTCTGGGTTTGAGCCTAAGCGCTATAAAAAGTTCAGTATAAATTATCAAAAATTAGTATTCTAAAATAAAATCTAATAATAAGATATACAATAGGATAATAATCAGGAGAATTGAATAACCAGGATGTGTTTACTTGTATTGAAGTAAAAAAGGGCGGTTCCATTTGAGGCCAGCCTGGGCTGCAAAGCGAGCTCTAGGCCTGGGCTGCAAACTGTGATCCTGTCTTGGAAAGCGACAAGAAAATTGGGAGCTTTACAAACTGGGAAGGTGCTTGAGGCTGCTAGTATGGAAAAGACTTCTAAATTTATGATTTGTATGTATGTGCTTATGATGTGCGTGTGTGTGTTCACTGTGTATATGTGTTTGTATGATATGTATGTATTTATGGTGTGTGTGTCTATGATGTGTGTATGGTACATATGTGTGTGTTTATTATATGTTTGTGTGTCTATGATGTGTGTGTATGATGTGTATGTGTGTTTATAATGTGTATGTTTATGTGTGTTTATGATGTGTATGTGTGAATTTATTTATAATGTGTATTTATGCTGTATGTGTGTTTATGATTTGTGTGTATCTGTGTGTGTTTATGGTGTCTGTTTATGATGTGTGTGTTTATGATGAGTATGCTTATGATATGTGTGTTCATGATGGGTGTGTTTATGATGAGTATATTTATGGTGGGTTTATTTATGATGTGTGTGTTTAGAATGAGTATGTTTATGATGAGTGTGCTTATGATATGTGTGTTCATGATGGGTGTGTTTATGATGAGTATATTTATGGTGGGTTTATTTATGATGTGTGTGTTTAGAATGAGTATGTTTATGATGAGTGTGCTTATGATGAGTGTGTTTATGATGAGTGTATTTACGATGAGTGTGTTTATGATACGTTTTGAATGTGTTTATGATGTGTATTTATGATGAGTATGTTTTGATGTGTGTTCATAATGAGTGTGTTTATGATGTGTGTGTGTATATGTGTACGTTCCTGTGTGTGACTCTGGGTGTGCACATGCTACAGTGCACATATGGAGATCAGAGGACAACCTTGGGTGCCAATCCGTGCTTTCTGCCTTGATCAAGACAGGGTGTCTCGTGTCATCGGGGCCACTGGACATGTCTGTTTTATCTTGGTTCTCTTCATTGAGGTGGGAAAACATCGACTGTAGTGGCATTATTCCCTGGCCTGGGAGCCTGGACTACATAAAAAGGGAAATAAGAGCGGCTGGGTGAGCGAGAGTCCTGAGCTTCTCTGCTTCTTAAAATTCATATATGACGTGGCCGGCTGCCTCATACTCCTCCACTGTGACTTCTCCATGCTGATGGTCTGCATCCTCAAACTGGGAGACAAAATAAACCTTTCCTCCCTTAAACGGCTTTTGTTGGGGTATTGTATCACAGCAACAGAAAAAGTAACGTAAGACAGGAATGTAAGTGGGAATGTTTAGCCTGATCAAGACTCACCGCAGCTGCTGGGCACAAAGCCTCAGGAGCAGCAGAGGGTTGACTCCGGAGGGGGTGGTGTTCTGATCACTGAGCAGGGAACCTGGCCCGTCCTGCGTGTCCTTCTGAGATAAGAAGCTGGAATGTTCAATCCCCCATATCTGCCATCCCCTATCTCGGGGAAGAATCCTTCAGGGGACAGGAGCCTGCTACATCTTGGAGCTGTTCTTGGGTGATTCAGAGAGGGTTATGGAGCAGAAAAGCAGAAGGGCTACATGAACTGTTGGTACAGTCCCGGCAGCAGTAGACATGCCTGGGGCTCCCTTTGTAGCTATGGTTGAAGTCAAGGGGGAAAGGGGATGTGACGTAGGGTTCCAGTAGCATCTACTAAACTTGTAAAAATGGCATTATATATATTTACTGAGCACCTGTTCTTCTCAGACATTGTCATAAACATTCCACATGTGCTAACCGCATGGCCTTTGCAGTAATGCCCGTGAGGTGGGTTTTCCCTTATCCCTGTCAGTGCATGTAGGGAGAAGGGGACAGGAGCCTGCTACATCTTGGAGCTGTTCTTGGGTGATTCAGAGAGGGTTATGGAGCAGAAAAGCAGAAGGGCTGCATGAACTGTTGGTACAGTCCCGGCAGCAGTAGACATGCCTGGGGCTCCCTTTGTAGCTATGGTTGAAGTCAAGGGGGAAAGGGGATGTGACGTAGGGTTCCAGTAGCATCTACTAAACTTGTAAAAATGGCATTATATATATTTACCGAGCACCTGTTCTTCTCAGACATTGTCATAAATATTCCACATGTGCTAACCGCGTGGCCTTTGCAGTAACGCCTGTGAGGTGGGTTTTCCCTTATCCCTGTCAGTGCATGTAGGGAGAAGGGAGCAAACCTGTGGGACCCAGGGCCATCCATCCTCACATAGTGTGCTGGCCATTTGGGTTAGGTTATGCTTCAAAACAAGCGTGCCCAAACTTTAGGAGCGCAAAATAAGCTAGGATTAGCCACCTGCTCCTTGTATTTGCCCATCAGAGGTCGCCTAGTGCTGACAGTCAGCATCAGTCTCACATTAGCGTGCAAGCTTTAACACTAGTTCCTGCAGCAAGATGCTCTAAGGGGACCCTGACTCTGATGTTTTGTGCTTGGAAATGACACACATTGCTTCCGTTCACATTTTACCAACCAAGCCAAGTTAGAAGTCATTCCTAATGTGGAAGAAGGTCAGAAGAACCATGTCCAACCTTTGCCCGGAAAACCAGAACCATTGCTAAACAGCGTGTGACCAAGCATCCTGCTCCTCTAGACACATGCCATTTGGCTCAATTTTCTTCTTGCAGGCAGAATACCTTTCTGTCCACCACTGGGTATACCTGGAGATTCCTGGCCAGATATAGCTCCAGGTTAAATCTCACAGTGTCCTCTACAGAAAAGAGAGCCTTCCCTCACCAGATCTGCATGGGTATCCTCTTGCTACACAGACCTGCAAAGTCAAAAGATGAGTCGACGACTGTCCCCACGCAGACTCCTAGCCTTTAATACAGTCCTCTCATTGCCAACAGACTCCTGGATCAATGCCACACACCGAGAACTCTTTATGTAGCAATGGTCCCCTTTCTACATCAAGTTTGGGGTCAAGGGATCAGACCAGATCATGCTGAGGTAACAGATAAGCTCAAACTCTCAGGAACTTTCAACACAAATGTTTATTTCCTTTTTCTCTGTGTGTGACTTAGGCCTAGAGGGGCGGGTTTGCATAACATTATTTTCAGGATAATATGGGAAATCTCAGCATAGTGTATCGTTCTTTTCTTATCACTGTGACAGAATGCCTGACAAGAAGCAACTTAAGGGAGGAAGGTTTTATTTTGGCTCATGGTTCAGGGGGATACAGTCCATCAAGGCAGGAGCAGGAGGCTGCTGGTCACATTGTACCTACAGGCAGGAAGCAGAGTATGAACAGGAAGTGTGCCTGGGCTATAAAGTCTCAAGTCCCACCCCCAGTG